CCAAAAAAAAAAAAAAAAAAAATAAATGTATATTTCAAAATTCTATAACGTATCAATCTCTCTCTCTCTCTCTCTCTCTCTCTCTCAGAGAGACGAGTTATTTTTACATTCGTTACAAATGTCAATATCGGACGCACGTCCGATAAAATGCTCTCGCAAACATGTTCTCACCGCCGTGCAATAACAAATTTAAAAGATTTCCAATTTATTGAATCTGTTTCAATTAAATATAAATCCCGAAACATCGTGTCCATCCACCTACAACGCGAGATAATTGTTTCACGCCGGGCATAACTTATTGGCGCAATTTAAATAAAATTCGACGGGACGATGGCCACGATGATAAAACACGAATATTTTCACCTGCGCGTCACCGTCAATTGATACCGTGTAATTAAATTAAAATTGAAAAATATGAGGCGATATGAAGCGATCGGTGGCGTCGCGACTCGTCGTCCATACCAACGGCCTGACCGGGTCAATTCAAGCGTCGATGATCATGGGAAGGAGGGGGGAGAGGGGATGCGTACCATTTATTGCAAATCGATCGCACTTACTCGTTCCCTTTGACATCCTCGCACATTCGCCCGTTCATGACAAACAATACCTCACAACAACGATTAATTACATGTTGCCAGTGGCAGCGTATAAATCACACAATCAATTTTCATCGAGTGGTGTGTTGCGCTTACGGTGTGAACATTCTCATGATCCAACTTGCCAATCGTCGAACGATTATCTTCGCTTAACCCCTCGTCGCTTTTCCATCGAAAGAGATGTTGATGACAACGGAGAGGAGATATGGAGAGGATATGGAATTTATTAATTTGATAACGTTGATATTCGATTTTTTTATATTGATTGTGGTTGATGGAGTTTTTTCAATATCATACAGTTTATCAGAATATCGACTTTGGATAAAAATTTTTACATCGTAGGTTTTTTGTTGTGTATTGTGATTTGTAATTAGATTAATTTTTGAAGCTGATTCGAGTCAGCTTGAAATTTGATTTTTGAATGAAACGAAATGCATTTTTACAATAATAATTAGTACACTATAATTAAAAAATTTGACTTTGTGCTTATTAATAGTCGGTCATATTTTGTTTGTAATTAATATTATATTGATAATTAAAAAGTTCGTAACAAAAATTTCCTTTCTCAATTTTCGCCTTTTCACTTCATTAATTTATTTTTATTTTCCGTTTATTTGAATAATTAGAAGTTTTATTTTTTTATCAATTTAAATTTTCTTTAAAGAATATTCATCATACACTTGTGCACAATTGCCATAGGTGGTTGGAAAGGCACTATATCTAATTAGATTATGAGGTTGGATAGTGAATTAAAATTGAACGAGGGCAATTTTTATTATTAATCCTTTTATTTTCTCAGTTTCATAATTCTAATTTAATATAATTATCGTATATAATTCTATAATTACAGTAGTCTTCTTGAAATTGCATTAAAGATGCAATTATAATAGTAAATTTAATTTTAATATTTTAGTATTCTTATAATAGTAAATATAAAATTCAAATTGCATTTTTTATCATTATTTATTAACGGTAAAATTTAAAGAAAATTACATATTCAACGAAAAATAATAACATAAATATAATCGAAGAAATTATATAAGAGATATTTAGATAAAAAATAGCTAATATCGGTCTATGATTGGATGAAAATTTAATATCAGTACCAACAAAATTAAAAAATAAAAATTCCAAGTATAATTCTGACAAATATTTTAAAATCGCATAAAAATAATAGAAATATCATTTTTAATTTTTCTAATTGATCTAATTGTATTTTTAAGAAAATCTTCAAAGTTGTTAATATTAAACCAATCTATAAATCATGCATAAATGCAACATTGTTAAAGTCGCGTTTATATTAACTGTACAAGCAAATTCAGCTTCAAGTTGATCAAAATCAACTGCGCAAGCTAAATTTTAGTCAGATAAAACAAACTTAAACTTGTATGTTGATCAATGTAAATCCAGCTTAGGGAGCAATTAAAAAAAAAACGCCAGAATTTTTATTCTTAATCTTCATCGAAAAAAGATATTTCGAAATCGTGCTCGAATAAAAGAAACTACAAAAACTACAAAAAGTATTTGTACTTGTTTTATTCCTTTTTTTATCAGATTTTACATTTCATTTATCGCAATTCATCAAGTTTCTGTAATTAAATGAAACAACGAAATTTAATAATACACTTGGATCGAATTAATTGATACATAAATATTATAATAAATGCAATATTTATTATAATACGTTCAAATATTATTTACAGTATACACTCGAAATTAAAAGCTGAAGCTACATCTAGCCAATACAACAATGTAACTTAAAACGATCCGCAATGTAATCCAAAAGTAATCTAACATTCCAATTCCATTTTTTTTTTTTTTTACAAATGGAAAGAATGGAAAGAAATAATACTTTCCATCGAAGCAAGCAAGCAAGAGTGGCTAGTTTCGCTCGGAGGTTAACTACTCGTAAGAAATCTTGATGCAAGATTTTTCATCGTCGTGCCCGTACGCACGAATCGAGCGTGTAATTTCACATCGTAAGTGGAAAACATAACACCGCCAACTATTGTTTCATGCGTTCGAAGAATTACTTCGGATTGGTAGAAAAACGGATTGAGCGGAATTGCGGATGAAATGTTTCGCTCGAAAATAAGTGGGATTCGATCGGCGATGGGCGATCGACGTGCAGTCACGCATCGATGCATGGCTGTACATACTATTTCACACCATCGCGCATCTCTCATCGATTCGACAATTCTGCTGCCGGCCACGGCTACGCATAAATTCATCCCGGCTCACTGATAATTTTAATAATGTTACCGTTTGTGAAATACGAGTCGTACCCAACCCTATGCTATTCCCTTCATTCCCTTCGTTCGTTTGTTTGTTTCGCACGGTTGCAGCCGCACATCATCCCTTAGGCCTCGCTATACGATACAATGTATGCGTAACGGGCAATGGGTTCACGTGAATGCGGTGGAAAAAATATCAACGTAATGAGACTTCGAAATGAGAGAATAATTTTTCCGGCCGGGAAAATGATTTTAGTTACTTGAGCAAGAGAATAAACGACAGAACTCAGTTATACCTTCATTTACGTTTCCTCTTTGCTTTCACTTAATAAGATGTGCGTACGTAATGTACTCGTTACTTGATGGTAATTTAAACAGTTGGTTTGCTTTCGAGCATGTGTGTGTTTTATAAGATATTACGGTTTTCAGGTATCAGGTACCAATTCTTGCACGATAATTTATTGATTAATGATATCTGATTCTGAACGCGATATTTAATGTATAATATTATTAATTATCGTGTAATACGTTATATTTAATTTATCTGTGATGTGATATGGTAACGTGTAAATGATATGACTGAATTAAAAAATAAATTCAAAATATTATTATATATTTTATTATATTTTTACTTAAAATAATATAAAAATTATTAAAAAATTATATTAATAATAGTATAATCATAGATATTCAATTTTTAGATGTTTCTTGTTTACATGAAACATATAGATTATTCATATATAGATTATTCATATAATTTAATATAATTTCTTAGAAATTTGCTAGGATGAATAGGATTTTTACTTTATTTAATAACACGTATTACTTTATTATATGTTCTATTATTTATATTTATTTGAAAATAATAATTAACGTAAATATGCTTGCAAACATTAAGTACAATATAAATTATTGTAGAAAATATAAATTTTCTATAATAAACATAGAAATGAATTTTTAAACAGGTTCTATTTATTTACTTTCTTATAAGATGTTTATCTGATGATAGTATGTAAGAAATGAGTTTTAGACAATTGTTTTTTATTATTGTTACAAAGATAAGTTATCAATTTGGATGGGCATACAAAATCAGTTTTTATTGTATAAATGAAAAATCATATATTCTTGTATTAATACAATGAAAGAATAGAAGATTCATATAGAATTAATTTAATTTCAATGGTAGAATTAATTAAGCAACTTATTTATTGGTTTAATATATTAGAATTGTAGAATCAATCCAGAGAATTGTTCCCAGATTTCGTTAGATTAATTAAACTGTCTAAAAGAACACAGCTTACACCCGGAAGCTTCGAAGAGTTTCAACTAATCAGGATTTCTTCCAGATCAGCCGGTCGTAGCAACGGTACATTTTGCTTGGTCACCAATGTTTGTGAATGCTTTTAGCAAATTAGAATGCGACTGACGAAAATTTAACGTTCTATCGATCGTATCAGAATGAAATCTATGCGTCTGAATCCCTTAAAAATGTCGATTTAACTTCTTCTTGTTTAAATTCTAAATTAAATAAAAAGATCGGTCGACCACTATCAATTTATATTGAATTTAGAGATTATTTTTTAAATGTTTCTAATTATTTATATTTTTTTAAATAATTTACATAATGATTTCAAATATATCTTAGTTATTTCAACGACAAAGATATTTCCTTTTGAAAGGTTTATAAAATAATTCTTGCTCTTTTCTAATAGAACAGAAGAATATTCAAATATTTTTAATTTTTGTTTATATCGAATTAAAAAAAAATTTTTTTTAATAAAATATTCTTTGTAGAATTTTTACATAATTATTACATAATTATTTATGGATAATTATCCATAAATATATGTACATTTAATGAATGTATATTTCATGATCGTTATATTAATATCATGGACCAGATTTAAAATTATTATTCTTATAATTCCCTCGATTATTTTATAAAAAGGAATATCAAACATGTAATAATAATGAGATATATCCCATTTTTTCGAATCCAGTACGAAATCTTTAACAAAATAATTAATTTGTTCATTACGCAAAGATTACAATGAAAATTATGCACATACATATGTGCATAATTCATGGCACGAAAAATAGGGAATACATTTAATTAAAGTTAAAATACATGGTACCACCAATGTGTATAGTTTGTTAAATATAATTATATAATAAAGTAGGGCATGAATGGTAACAAACTTTCATGGTTTGGCGAATTTGGAGAAATATAATTTGAGAGACTCACTTCCGTTTCCTCGGTTCTCAACGATTGCACGTCAGGTGCGAATGTAAAACGTGATTCGCACAAAGTCGCCTTCCAACTTTTAATAAGTAAGAAATTCTAAAGGTGTTCCTAGCTCGAAATAACTCGACGACAATTCTCTGAGTAGCGTCCAGTGGATTACTGTTGTGAAACCGCCTTATTTTAACGAATTTTAACGAAGCAACTAGTTATTCGCGTTTAAAAAAGATTCAATTTTTTAATTTACACGAATCTTTACATATTTTAATAACGAAGCAACCAGTTATTCGTAAACAAAAAATTCTTAATTAAAAGTAACGAAATACGTATCATTAATTTATAAATATAACAAAAACATGATAAATATAAAATAATCAAAAAGAAAAAAAGAAATTTAATTGATATTATTTTTTAATCATCAGTTACATACGAATAAAGTATAGTACTATTTAATGTAATATTTAATTTGCAAATACGAATAGAAAATTATAATGAATACTTACGAGAACTTTGTTACCCAATTCTCCAAAAGCACTTGTAGGTGGCATTTCTTTAGGAATGTATCGAAAAAATTCAAAACGTTTGTAGTACCATTTCACTGTGTACAAAGTATCTGATTCTAGATCGTATCCGCAACTCATATTGACGGTGGTGCCATCTGCTACGGCCAATGGAATATCGATGGATACATTCTTAAGTCCTCGCACTCCTGGAAATAAAACAGAGAAAATATAATTTTCATGCTAGAATTTCTATTAATACATTGCTAGATATATTTCCAAATGATTTGATAGGAGAATAGAACTATAAAAAGAAATAATGAAAATAACTTGGAATTTTCTTGGAATTTTTTTATAATTTCGACGGATAAGGTAAAGAATTGACAATTCTCGTGTCAATGATCCTGCATTTATTTGATTTCAAGAATATTTATTCTTAAAACAACAAATTTGTTTTTTTAATTTTAAAAATTTTTTAAATAATTTTCATTACTAATAAAAAATCATGAGTTTCAGAAAGTGGAACATATAATAAAAAAAATGAATTTTTTTCTATTTGCGAATATTGAATTGAAATTTATAAACGAGTTACATATTTTACCTTTTTAATCGGATTTATTTAAAATTTTCGTTTTCATTTTTTATAAAATTGATTATGAATATAAGTTAATTTTCAAAATTTCAAAAAATTTTAATTCAATTATTACATTCCTAAATTGTGCATGATGTAAGCATTAGATATTATTTAAAAATTTGATTCAATTAAAATAATTATTGTTAACGTTTCAAACGAATATCTCGGACAGATAAAAAGAAATCACGTAGCATAAATCGCAAACATATCTTTCCCAAGATTTACTAAGTTGGGTGACAAGCATTTATCCTGTAATAACTTAAACAGACAAGTACTTACAAAACTTTCTACGTAAGCTTAGCAACGTCAGCGTCAGTGTTAGTCACCCGTGGGATTACGTTCCCAAGAAAAGAATTGCGTGAAAAGGCAGGGAAAACTTTCGACACTGGCGTCGACTTTTAAATATCACCCTGGGGAACTATGCGGTTTATTCTTTTCTAAATATAACGATATGCGCTTTTTAACTTTTTTTGCCTAATGTTTGTTTTATCCGAATCTCTTCGTTGTGTTACAAATTGTAATCACGGATAACCTCATTTTCGTGAAAGTTTCGAACTTAATTTATTTTTAACCGTACGAATTAAAATTAACGTTTATCTGAAATGATGACTTTCACGAGAAACATTATTATTCGTTGTGATTTAATGTTGTGCGAGTAGGTAAAATAAATTAAAATAAAATAATTTTATTTCAGATTAATGCAAATAAGTATAAATAAAGGAAATGCGACAGCAAGAAATTTGTGATTCTTCTTTTAAAAAATAATATATTAAATAATTATTATGTAAAATTATATTCATAAATAGTTTTTGTGTCTTCTATTAATACAGTGTTTTTTTTTAAATTAAATAAATAAAGTTATAAAATTATGCTGTTTGAAATATTATTCTTATATTAAATATTATTTCATATCGAAAAGATATTTACAGAGATTTAATAAAAGCATGTTAGTCTATATAAATAATCATAATCTCTTTATTATATATATAATCTCTTTTGATAAATAAAGAAATGATAAAATCATTTTATTGTTATTTAAAAAAAATCAAAGTATTATTGAAATTACTGTTACTTCAAACAAACCGATAAATAATTAAATGAATCAAATTTCGTGATACAGAAAATGTATATGAACTTATATAAAAGTACTTCAAGTGATCATTTTTCTATTTCAATTTCAAATAACTCACATCTACGAAAAAATGTTACGTAATAATTTTCTTGTAATAATAATAATACAAATATAAAATATATATATGTATTCGCGATTAAACGAAACGGATATGCGATGTCATTGTCTATGGCAATGTTTGTACACTGGTGATAAGACGATGTGTCATATTCCTAGCCCCAGTTATCGCCAACGAGTTGAAAAGTTTGTCCGTTTCGTCGACATTTCGGCTTAAAAAGAGAGAGAGAGAGAGGGAAAGAGAAAGAGAAAAAAAAATCTGTCGCAAGTTAAACGTCTAGCTCGTGGATTTGCGAGATCAGCACGCGATGTACGTGAGTGGCATTTGCTATACTGGACTAACGCAGCTTCATCATTAATTAAGCGTTTTTCACGGAAACACGAAACTTGTTAATTATTCATGACACAACACACGGCCTGTTGTATCTTTAATATAATTAATTACTAATTGATCTAATTATATACTATATTAGCATGATGTACGTTTCTCTTTTTTTTATTCTTCTATGGTTCTTGTGTTCGTGATCCTTCAATACACAAAAAGCATACGAAATATTTAATACGACTCCATTATTGGAGAAATAAATGATTTAAAAATATTTATTATCGTCAAACAGAAACGCATTCAATATAATATTCAGATACTATGGGGAGGGATTATTGTTTTATCTCATAAATATTTGAATCTTCGTTTTAAATTTAATTTTATTAGAATTTTATAGAATATTGAGTAAGTGTATATCATAAAATATCAAGCATGTATTATTAGGAATAATCAAATTTGAAAAAAATTAAAAAAAAAATATATATTAAAACGTAATGATATGTAAAGAGAAACCAAGTACCGTTAAAAAAGAAAATATTGTTAAATATGCATTGACCATTAGGTTTGCTTATGATTGACTTGCTAATGTATAGAAAACAGCCACGTTGCGGTTTAATGAGATGAAATTATGGATAGAAACGGAACATCATTCAACCTGGCCATTTCCTTATCATTATATCCTTCACCACTTCAACACTTGATACGTCGTATGCTATTCCTGACAAAACAGTATGTTGATTTCATTCTATAGTTATCCAGCAATTACACGTATCCACATATAAATTATTGTGTATACAGCGTGTTTCAGAAATAGATAATCAAAAATTTTATCCTATTCTCTTTTTCAATATTTCCAAAAATTCTCTTTTTTTCAAGTATAATTTACATATTCAATTCTTTTTATTTTACATTTCCAAAATATCCTATTGATAGTCCAATACACTTTTTTTAACAAAAAAAAAAAATTTATTTTCCGCAGTCCAAGGTTTATTTAAAACTTTTATGCTTTCCAAATTATAAGATCCTTTTTTAAGCCCTATTTTACAAATTTGCATATTTGACCATCAATCATCAAAGTAATTGACATATATACTCTACATTGCTTTCCATAAATCATTTCATTCGAATAATCAAACGTTAAATTTTATCATATCCGCCATAAAGCGTTTGGAACGTAATTAGATAGCCTGGTAACTGGTACACAGAATCGTGGATATAGCGTGAATTCCTCGCCAATCAGTTGTTTGAGCGGGGGACTGGGCAGAAGGGATAGGCACTCGACAAATCATTTCAAGGAGATTTAAATACCTGTTCCCTCGCTAATCACCTCGCTAATCTTTAATTACTGGGCCCCAGCCTCCATACCCGATCGTTATTCGCGTCACGCTGCCTCTCTTGGTACACGCACCTTCCGTTTTTAGAAGATGAGACCTTCCCATAAATAACAGTACCCATCGAGACAATGGCGTTGCATAAACTCGCTACCTATACATCACACCTCCCCCCCCCTCCCGGTTTCCCTTAAATTATCGCTCGAATAATAGGGCGAGCTAGATCCCAAAATCGTTTTCCTTCACGGCCACTTTGCCCCGTTCTTCGTCAAATTGCGCAGCAAAACGTTAAACACAGACCATTGGGATTAAATACACTACTGTTCTGTTATTTGGGTCTCTCGAGTCCCTCGTAAAGTTCGTGCTTTTATAATTACGGTATCGCTTTATGGGCGATCGATTTTTGTACGTGATTACAAATCTCTCCTAAGGAAGTGAGAGGGGAAAAAAAAATTCATGCTGCTCGATATAATAGCTCTGCATCATCGATTTTTAATTACCGTCGATTTACGAATCGATCGCGTGCAATCTATGATTTTTATAATTGGAGTGATTGATTGAATTTGTATCGCGAAGAATGATGATTTTTTGTTCGATTGTAGGATGGATATTTGTATATTTCTTCATCGAAAGTGAACGATAAGAATAAGAGATATTCTTTAGAAAGATTAAACTGAATATAAATAAATGTTTAATATTTACTTAGTGTAGTTATGAATTTGTAATTCATTTGTGTAGAATGAATGTATGTGAAGGATTCAAGCATTTCTTTATTCCTCAAATTTTTAATTGGTAAATTAATTAACTACTTAGTTTAATATTGATTTATCATATTAAAAAATGACAGAATAAGGAGATTTTTTGAAATGTTAGAAATCTCATAAATCTTTAAAAATAAACATGTTGATTTAAAAATTTAATGAAAATAATTTGACTATAATCAAATTAGTCAGAAGCCAATAGTTTTTTTGTTCAAAAAGTAATCATGATTTCATATTTTGAAGTAATATGTTTCAAAAAATGGAGTCAATCATTTTGGCATCTGAGAAATTCGATACAATTTTTATTTGTATTTTATTGTTCAATAGAATTTTAATTAAAGGAAATATTTCATTTATACGGCTTTTCATAAAAACTTTTATATTGTAAAAGTTTATATTATATGTATATTTAGATAGCATGGAATACTATTAGTCTCTTATCAATTTCATTAACGTACATTTCCATGAAAATATCACAACAAGGAAGTTTATATAAAATAATTCTCAAGCAGAGAAAAATCTCTGTACAGATCTCTGGGAATTGTTCTCATTCATAAACGTGGGTGTGTCAGTTCTATACTTATATTAGTTCGCTATAATTAGCGAATGTATCAGATCTCGCAAAAGAAATCAAGTGCCATAGCAGATTAATGAGTTTCTATTATACAGATTCTTCATTCAGATAGTTAATTTATACCGAATCGCATAATTGGCGTACAGTTATTCGCGGAAATTTTTCATCATCCATTATTATTAACTTTATCAACAATACCTAAAGTCTCTTCGACATTGTTCAATTTCTGACTTTATTTATTTTTTTATAATAAATATTCTATTCTTGGAATAGAAATTATTAAATAAAATAACGAAGATCTAACTGGATTCTAAATCTTCTTAAAGAAAGATTCCTGATTTAATATGTGACTTAAAAAGTTTTCTTGCACGTAATTGACATACCAATTTTATATATGGAATATAAATCGTTAACAATATTTCAAATAACAATGATTCGATAGATTTAAATACCCTTTGAGATCTCTGAATTCAATTTTTAATTTCAGAAATTATAGCTCGTAATAAAAATATAATATTGATAGCAAATACGTCAAATAACGAATTGAACTAGATTTGAAAATCCTGAAAAGATTTCTGAATTAAAAAATTTCCTACCAATAAAAATTCCAATATTGGAATATAAATCAAATAACGTTTTAGTTGAATTTAAAAATCTTTTGAGAGCAAGATATCTGTGATTCAATTTTCGATTTCATCGTGATTATCCTAGAATACAAATCGATATCAAATGTATCAAGTAACATGTATAAGTATAAAGAATCAAGTATATGTATAAAGAATTAAATTTGAGATTCTCTTGAAGGGAAGATAAACATTTAATTTTTTACATAAAGCAAATAAGATATCTTATTATCGTAAAGATTAATGCATCCAAACGTATATAAAATCATGATAAATTGCCTTTAAACGTATCGTTCTATTCCGGATGAAGATGTTCCGCGATTTTAAATACCTCAATCAGAAATTAATTACATATATATTTTATTTAGGGAGCTTATAGCGAGTATCTCTTCTAAAAAGTCTTCCAAGCATTATGCATATCCTTGGCAAGATCCCCTACGGCCCGCAAAGACGGAAAAGCCAAAGGCGTAAAGAGCTTGTACTTTGAAATGAGATCCCTTTCTTTCTTCAGAACTCAACTAAATGAAACCCCATCTCTGATACACAGCCGGTTGCCGAGCCTTTTATTGTTTTCTAAAAGACGGGAGAAAGAGACCAAGTGGAAAAAGTCTTTGAAAATATTTGTTATAAAGAAAATATCATACCGAATGGTCTATATAAATCTGTTGGAAGATCAAAAGAACGGGGAGGAGACACGGATAACAATATTTGATGACGGTCATTTCTTCAAATGTATGAATATTGTATATTTTTCGGCTCTGATGATTGTTTTCAACGTTTCGAATATTAGGCCAAGTAGTGACGATAATTGAAGGTGGACAATATTTGAGAAATAATAATATTCAATAGTGGTCAATGGATAAATCTCAAGATGAATTAAAATTAACAATAATTGAAAACAACAACATTGGATAATTTTTTTTTAAATTTATGAATATTGGATACAATATTCATGTACGTTTTAGGAAGATAGTTTTAAATGTTTTTAATTAATTAGAATATTAATAATGTGAATAGATTATTCTGAAATGAAGAATTCGCGGTATTTCGATGGTAAAATTTAATATAACGTATAATAAGATATAGTGATTAATTAGATTAATAATTTATTTTAATAATAGTTTTATGTGATTGCAATTTTCCACACAATTAAAAATAATTAATTTAAAACTAATTAAAGCTCCATTAAATATGTTACTTTTTATCTCGAAATTAACCAAATGGTTAATACTTATTATTTAATTGAAATAAAATATATTAGAATAGCTTTAAATATTTCGAGAATTATATAGAAATCACTTTTGAATAATAATTTAATTTTATCTGTATTCGTTATAGCTCGTTATAGCTATGAGATATTACGATAATTGATTCATTAAACTCTCTTCTATAAAGAGATATTATATGATTTTAAGTTCGTATAATTAGATCCTTTCATTTTAAATTTACATTTTATTTTATACATAAATTTATTTAAAGTTTGATGAAATAATATAATAAATTCTCAAGTTAAAATTTCGATCATATACAAATAACTAAATATTTCAAGAAAATTCAATTTCAATTTAATCATTTTTTAGTCTTTCTTACGTATGTTTTCAAACTGAATATTTTTTTATAATTCGATACCAACATTTTCCATTCCTATAATTTTTCTGTTTTTCTGTATCAAATTTTTTTTTCAATAACAGATTTTATAAAAATTCGAGCAAATTTAACGATCCAAACGAAAAATTTCCATTGCAGATTTTTTTTTTATTTTACTCGTATAATATTCGATACTTAAAATCAGGATTGTCAAATTCAGTGAATAATTCTTCCAATATTAGTTTTCATAGATTATTTCATAGGTATTTCAATAATTTATTAAATATTTTAAGATTTTTTCAAATAAAAAATAATATGTAAGTATGCATTTTAATAGTTTGCAAAATTATTTAAATTATTTGCAAAAGTTAGATCAGTATTTTTTAATCAATTTTCATCATCAATTCTAATCATACATATCAAATTCAGATGTAGAGAGAGAATTTTATTAAAATTTTAGGAATACACATATATTATTATTTATAAAATATTGCTTTTAATATTAATTGAATTAAAATTATTCTTTTTTATTATTAAATATTTCTTCCTTTCGAAATAACAAATTATAACAAGCATCAAAATGTATTATCACTTCAAATAAAAATTTTCTTCTTAAAAATCACAATATACCGCACAATATATAAATCTTATCTAATTTTATCTTGTCATTAGATTCAAAAATCAAATAAAATCCTATCATATAACGATAATCAAAAAATTATCAAAATCGAAAAATAAATTTAAATTCCGATCGAACAAAAAAAATCATACAAAAACGACAGATCAACTTTAACCTTCAATAATGGAAGGGCAGCCGATATTAACCCATGGAAAAACTAGACATTAATTCTAACGATTGGTATCGATTCGGCCGAGAAAGTATCTGTACCAGACGATCTTTTAATCCAACAGATGGAAGTGTTACGATCGACTGCTATCCGCTACGTATCCGGCCGTATTTAATTTCCAATGGAAATCGAGAAATCTATCCGGTGGGGGGGAGGGTTGGCTCGGTTAATATTGCAAGATTCAGAAGCGGTCGTTGAATCTTTAAAGTTTTCGAGTCCGTGCAGGGCGATGGCCAGTAATCGGACGTTGAAAAAGGATTCCACCAGGTCTCTCGAAATGGAACTTGAACTTTTATATGATGCTCGTAAAAAAGTTTTATAATAAAATGTATATCTGAACGCGCGCATATATGTATAAGGGATATAGTATGGATAAGTATTCTGATGTCGTTTAGTTGTTTATGAGTATTTTTCGAACTGTCTCTATTTTCTGGATCATTTCGTATGATAGTTTGACATACTACTTTTTGTTTGATAGATTAATGTAGCGCATTACAAATGTCATATATCAGTATTATTTTCTTTTCACTGTTTCATTTCTATTTGATCTTTCTATTAGATCGTGTTTTATTTTATAATTTTTTCGATTTTTTTTTAATAAATAAAATGGATTATAAAAATCCAATTTGTTTTTTTAAAAAATTAAATTTTTAAGATCATCTTGAATTTTTTTTATAACGTTATAATTTTTTTTTGTTTATTATTTAATTTTGTTTATTATTTTTTTGTTTATTATTAAATAGATATTGAGATGAATTTATTATAAATATGTACACAGGTTTAATATCTAATATTAAATCTTTTTATTATATTCGTGAAAGTTTATGTTATTAATTATGATTGTGCAAAAATATATTTAAATAAAAGAGCTTAACATTGATCTAAAAATATATAAATCTGAAAAAGATAAAAAGAGGGTAAATTACACGTATATTAAATAAAAAGTGAATTTAAATTATTTAATACAATATGTATGTAATTAATAACAAATTAATTCGATATTATCGGTTAGTCAAATAATTTAGAATGAAATGATAATATGCGATAGAATAACAATAAAATAATATTAAATAATTTAAATAGTAGAATATATCGGATTAAATAATAAAATGAGTAAGATATAAGTCATTTTTCATTCATCATTTCAATGTGAATTTTTGTATTCATATCTCTAATAATAACATATTTCTAATTCGATTTTCCTCTCTATTTTCGTGGCAAGTGTATGAAAATGTTCTAAAAATGTTTTAAAAAATTTAATATTAATTTCAAGCAAATTTAATACACGTTCATTAAATACGAAATTCCAAACAACGCGGAAAAACTTTTGGAAAGTTTTCCATATTATCGACATTTTTGAGTTCAAAAACTATCGATAATTTCATGAATTTTCTCTAATTCTTCATAAAATTTAAACACAGTTATTAGATATAGTTAAAAATTCAAAACACACATCGTAGAAATATTTTAAAAGTAATAAAATGATACAGAATTAAATAGGATAATATTGAATAAAAATTTTAAAAAAATGAATCTGTAATTTAAAATGACATTTTAAATATTTATAAATATTTTATTCAATTTATATATTGTTTTAGTGTTTGTATCTAAATTATATTTTACCTTAAAAATTATTGAAAAGAATATTTAAAATTTTAATATTTTAAATTTTAAATATTTTTGCACGGTTTTTAAAGAATAATTTCGAGTTGCATCAAGTTAATTTCAATCTCAAGTTAATTTCATATTTTAATTTTATATTTTATAATATAAATTTTTGAATACTTCTTTAGCTCGGATTTTTATATTTATTAAAATTGTTTGTTCATACAATTAATGAATTTCTTCAAATACATTTACACAAAATACTAGTTTCGTGAAAAGAATATTTACTTCGTAAAGAAATTAAACGTAGCTTTGTTTATTAAAGCGTTTCTGAATATACATTTTAATACCCATCTCGTAATAGTGATGTCTTATTAAACGAGATTGCATACGCTAATTGTACAGATTTATTTTCGCGCTGTAGATGCATGCTTTCAGATAGTAATTTAATCTCTATCACGCTATTGTTCTTCTAACTTCAAAGAGGAAGTTTACTGTTTTAAAGTAGAAGTTACGTGTTAATAACTTGTTATAACATTTTTATCAAAATAATATGTTTCCGTATTACGTAAAAATTTCTAAACAAAAATATAAAAACATAATAATTTCTAATTGATAATATAGCATACATGAAAAATTAAGTTCATCTCAAAACTTTTAGTTTATAATAAAATACACATTCGATATGATTTTTATTAGTTTTAAAATATTACGTTTTCAACAAATATTCCCTTTTTAATTTGAATTTTTTAAAACAAAATTTCGACTTGCTTTCTATGCTTGACTTTTTTTTCAAGCATTTTTTCGTTTCAAAGTAATAAACTCAAAGATAGTAGTCAATATTATATCGCACAGTCGCATAAAAACGATAATATTTCTATAAAGTTAAATATTAATTATATTGGGAGTAAGAATTTTTCAAAAAGTTTATCAGTTAATGATTTCAATGATTATATATGGTAATAAAAAGAATTTAGTGAATATGAATCAAAAAAATATTTCGTTTCAATTAAAGCGAATGTTTCATCGTTTCTTCTTCTGGTTATAAAAAATTTTCTATAACATATTCTTTTTCCATTTCTGCACATGTTTAATTTCTCATTATCAAAAAATTACGTTCTCTTATAAAAATCTACAAAAGATTTCAATTTCATTTCGCATTTTTTAACATAATTCCATACCATATTTTCAATAAATTTCCAAAAAAAGAAATTCAGAAATTCGAGACGATCATTAAGAGTCCAAGAAAAGAAGCAAATAACTTGAATAATCGAAATGAAAAATAATTTACAACTTTGAAGATAATCAATATACTTAAAAGTTATACCATCTTTTATCACCATATATATATCGACTTACACTTACATAGAAATATAATTCGATTATTAAAACGATCCTCGTTTCGAAAACTATTATTCCCCTTTTTTCGTCACACTAAGAAACAATACGTATTCGAAACAAATATACCGCAGATAGGAAATGCACCACAATAGAGTTCCCAATTCCTTGTTGTCTTCTCTGGTATCAACTTCCCCGCGTACCCATCATTCTCCGCCTCTAGATTCAGCTGAAACCCTATTCTGAGCGAGCTTAACTTCGGAAGTATGTGCTGCGTGTTTGTACACGGTTGTGATTTACTCTCGGGTTATGTACCTTCCATGACTGGTTGCCATGAAAACGTGAAGGAGTGGAAATGC